ACCAATCAAGATCAAGATTAACATATATTTTTTTTGCAGCTCTAAATTGTATACATTTTCCTAAAAGAATGTATTCTAAAGCCTACTTTGACTATATACAGCGCCTTAAAATGCCAAGAAGTGATGTGGATCAGAACAAAGTGATTGCATGTTTTTATTCATTATATGGATTTAGACAAGTGATTGGGGCTATTGATTGCTACATATTCTAATCCCGAAAGTCGCTGGAAACAGGAAAGGATACAGTTCAATAAATATACAAGTAAGTTTTATAGCACCTAGTTAGCCCATCTTTGCCGTATAGGTACTTAGTTATTTTCTTAGATTCAACACAATCACCTCAATCTATTATTTCATATTAAAGAAGTTAGGAGTGCTTTGTTCCAGGTTGTGTCAAATGCAAATTTAGAGTTCATTGATACAGTGGCACATTGACAAGGCAGCACACATGACTCAAGAATATTTAAAGAAAGTCGCATTAAAACAAACATTTGAGCAGTCAGAATTTAAGGGCAGACTTCTCGGAGATTCTGGTTATGCTTGTACTCCTTATTTATTCGCTCCTATCCTGCGTCCTGCCGTGTAGTGGCGGTTAAGAATATCCACTACCCCATATCTTCCCGTGGGTGTCGTAAGAGGCGACAGAGGGAGACAGGCAGGAGATGGGCAGCAGCATCTTCCTGATAACAGCAACTGTACGACAAAAAAAAACTGCGGTTGCCAACCCGCTCGCCAAGCGTGGCAACTATGGCAATATACCCCCCATGAACAATTACACAAATAGACGGCCCCCAGTCCCCGGCGGCCCCGCTATTCCTGGCTACGGTGGCGACCATGGTAACGGCGGGGCAGGGGGTGCTAAGAATCTCCGGTGGAGGTTCGGTTGCCACCTACGACGACTCGACCTGGCAACATTTAACGCACGCACACTGAGGACTGACGAGAAGATCCTGGAGCTGGAAGAAGAGATAGACAAGTTGCGCTGGAGTATTATAGGATTATCCGAGGTCCGAAGAGAGGGGGAGGACACGGTGATTCTCGAATCCGGCAACTTGTTCTATCACCGGGAGGGCGACCATCTGTCCCAAGGAGGTGTCGGATTTATCGTCCACAAGTCTCTCGTCAACAACGTTGTACAGATTGAGAGTGTGTCGACGAGGGTCGCGTACCTGATACTCAGAATCACCAAACGGTATTCGCTGAAGGTCATACAGGTTTACGCACCAACGTCGGCACATTCCGATGAGGAGGTGGAGGAAATGTATGAGGATATTTCCAAAGCCATACATTCCTCCAAAACCCACTACACGGTGTTGATGGGAGACTTCAACGCAAAACTAGGCACAAGAGAAAACGGTGAGCTGAAGTTAGGGAAATTTGGAGTAGGGCAACGGAACCGAAGGGGCCAGCAGCTGGCCGAATTTATGGAGAAAGAGGGACTCTTTATGATGAACTCTTTCTTTCAGAAGCGGCCCCACAGGAAGTGGACCTGGTCGAGCCCCGACGGTTCGACAAAAAATGAGATTGACTTCATTATGACGACCAGACGCCAACTGTTCAGTGATGTCTCAGTGATCGCAAGGGTGAAAACTGGCAGCGATCACCGAATGGTTAGAGGCACACTGAACCTAAACGTTAAGTTGGAGAGGTCTCGTCTAATGAAGTCAACGCTCCGTCCCCCTCGTGCTCTAATCCAAAATCCCGAAAACTTTCAGCTCGAGTTACACAACCGCTTTCAGTGCCTACAAGATTGCAATGCAGTGGACGATATGAATGACAAGCTCGTGGAAACTGTCCATGCGGTCGGAGCTAAGTTCTGCAAGACCCGCCGCAGAAGAACACAAAAACTCTCCGATCACACTCTTAATCTCATGGCTGTTAGACGGGAGATGAGGCTGCAATCGTCAACAGATTTGACAGCATACAGGCAACTGAACAGACAGATCTCCAAATGCATGCGGCGAGACTTACGCAACTTTAATACTGCTCGTATTAAAGAAGCGATCGAGCGGAACCAGGGCTCCAAAGTCTTTGCCAGAGATCTGTCTGCCAGAAAGAGCCAACTGTCAAGGCTGAAGACTGAGTGTGGCAGCATCGTTTCCGGGACACCTGAGATTTTGAGTGAGATTGAGAGGTTCTATGGGCAGCTGTACACATCATCGTTGGAGCCACACGCAAGTGTGAGTAACGATCCAAGAGCAAGTCTTATCCGACACTATTTCGATGATATCCCGGACGTCAGTCTAAGCGAGATTAGAATGGCTCTCCAGCACCTTAAAAACGGCAGGGCCCCAGGCGAGGATGGAATTACAGCGGAGCTTCTGAAAGCGGGTGGAACACCGGTACTTGAAGTCCTTCAGAAGCTCTTCAATTCCGTCCTCCATGGTGGCACTACTCCAGAGGCGTGGAGCAGAAGTGCGGTGGTCTTGTTCTTTAAGAAAGGCGACAACGCTCTCTTGAAGAACTACAGACCGATTTCCCTTCTGAGCCGCGTCTACGTGCTGTTTTCGAGAGTCATTACGAATCGTCTCGCACGCAGACTCGACGACTTCCAGCCTCCCGAACAAGCCGGTTTCCGAAAAAGGCTTCAGTACCATAGACCACATACATACCCTGCGGCAGATTGTACAGAAGACTGAAGAGTACAATTTGCCACTTTGCCTGGCGTATGTGGACTATGAGAAAGCCTTTGATTCCGTCGAAATTTGGGCGGTGCTGCAGTCCCTTCAGCGGTGCCAAGTTGACTGTCGGTATATCGAAGTGCTGAAGTGTTTGTACAGTAGGGCTACGATGGCTATCCGAGTACAGAACCAGAGCTCGAAACCTATCCAACTGCAGAGAGGTGTAAGACAGGGTGACGTTATATCCCCGAAACTCTTCACCGCTGCTTTGGAAGACGTTTTCAAGCTACTGGACTGGAAAGGATACGGTATTAACATCAATGGCGAGTACATCACTCACCTTCGATTTGCCGACGATATAGTCCTTATGGCAGAATCGCTGGAGGACTTAAGCACTATGCTCAATGACCTCAATAGTGCCTCCCAACGGATAGGTCTTAAGATGAACATGGACAAAACAAAGATTATGTTTAATGTCCATGTCACACCTATGCCGATAGTTGTTGGGAGCACTATGCTCGAAGTTGTTGACGAGTACGTTTACCTGGGACAAATATTCCGACTAGGTAAGTCCAACTTCGACCGAGAGGTGAATCGACGGATTCAACTCGGCTGGGCAGCGTTCGGGAAATTACGACATATCTTCTCGTCAGGTATACCTCAATCTCTGAAAACTAAAGTGTACAACCAGTGCGTGTTGCCAGTGATGACTTACGGATCAGAGACGTGGTCCTTCACTGCTGGCCGTATGAGGACGCTCAAGGTCGCTCAGCGAGCTATGGAGAGGGCTATGCTCGGAGTTTCTCTGCGTGATAGACTCAGAAATGAGGATATCCGCAGTAAAACCAGAGTGACCGACATAGCCCAACGGATTAGTAAGCTGAAGTGGCAATGGGCCGGCCATATAGCTCGAAGAACCGATAACCGATGGGGAAGAAAGGTTCTCGAGTGGCAGCCTCGTACCGGTAGGCGTAGTGTAGGGCGACCCCCCACTAGATGGAGTGACGACCTGGTAAGATATGCAGGAAGTCGATGGATGCAGGTGGCTCAGGACCGTGCTTTGTGGCATTACTTGGGGGAGGCCTATGTTCAGCAGTGGACTTATGAAGGGCTAAAATGATGATGATGATGATGATGATCCTGCGTCCTAATAAACAAAAGGAAGAATGTACAACCGGTCGCACATCTGGTGGCCCCGTTACACTGTAGAACAATGCTTTGGAGGGAAGCAAAGGTTTCTGTGCTTACTGCGAGGACTAAATACTAAATAACAGTCTGACGACTGAGGCAAATCCTCCCTACATCGGGAGAGATCCTTCCATGTGCAGCAGTGGAAGTTTATAGAACGATTAAAATGGAGGAATTATTTGTAGGCCATACAAAGACACAAAACAAGCCCTGGTAGCTCAGGGGCCAGCAGTTTGCCATAAGACTTTACAGTATGCTAGCAACCTAGGCTCGTTCTCCACCAGCACCCGTAAAATTGTTCAAATCGACGTCAAGTCCAAGTCAGATGATAAGTTAAGTCATAAAATTTCAAAAAAATCTTTGCTATGTATTTTAAAAATTACAGGCATTTATAAAAATCGAAAAAATTTACATCCTCTAACAGTCTTTTAACTCCTATTGCTACAAATATTAATTCTTTTTTTTAATTTAATTTATTTTTTTTATAGGATAAGGTCACAAACGAGCACACAGTCCACCTGATGGTGAGTGGTTACTGCGGCCCATACACATTTACATTTATCCACAGTTAAAAATCAAAACGCAAATGCGTTGTCACCCCTGAGGACTGCGATACCAGTATCGATCGTCCGATCCCAGTAAAAAGGGTCACCGGATCTCTACACTCACCATACAAAACACAGCAGCATTAAGCTACTATTTTACGCCGGTATTCCGTGAGAGTGTGGTCTTTTCTCGGTCGAGCCCACCCATTTATGCTACAACCATAATAAAGCTGCAACGTGGATCTAGCATGTACAAAATTATTATTGTGTACTTAACTTTATTTTTTGCGTAACTCGGGATCTCACGACTAGCAGACGTACTTACAACAACTTTCTCGGACGTTAGTAGCCCTATCAACAAATCAGTGAATCCCCTTCCCTGTATTATTTTAATAACACCTTGGGTCACCACCGGCGAATTCAGTTCTTGCTTAAAACAACATAATTGTATGGCCTACAAATAATCATTTTGGTTCATTTGGGTCACAAACAATCATTTGGTTTGTTCATGTGTAATAAAAGAACAGAATTTTGTATGTACAATACATCTCCAACTACATGATGGCAGAGAAATTTCTAATGTAGTGTGTTTTTGTTATCTTTTTTATTTTTGATTCGGATTTTTTTTTTTAATAAATTCTATTACCTAAGTCAACGTCATCTGTTTTACTCTTTACACCTAATGAAATTAGTGGCAAGTCGTTCTCCGAATCCTCATGTCGATCTTCAAAAGCATCAATCTCCAAGTCTTCTTGTTTTCCATCAGTATCTAGAATTAAACAGATTTTACTTACTTACTTACTTACTTATCTTCACGCACAATCCCTAACGGGGTAGCCAGAGAGAACAGATCGCCAAGTGTCACGATCCTTATACACCACTTTCGCTTCTTTCAGGTTCATTAACTTCTTCATACATGCACGTCTAGGTATCCGAGTACTCTTGACCTTCCCCTCTTCGAGCAATTTGCTCACATGGTCTTCGAAAGTTAGTCTCGGTCTACCTCGACACCTTTTAATATTTACTTTCGCTCTATATATTTTCTTCACCATTCGGTCTTCACTCATTCGCTCAACGTGCCCAAACCATTGGAGTACGCCCCTATCAATTTTTGTGATAAGGTCATCTTTCAATCCTGCCATATTGCGAATCTCTTCGTTTCGCTTTCGATCGGCTATGGTAACGCCACACATTTTACGAAGAGATCGCATCTCCACTGCATTCAACTTGCTTTTATGCTTCTTCTGGCATACCCAGGTATCGCTGCCATATAACAAAGTCGGTACCAACACTGCGTTATGTATTGCAAGGCGTGCACTCTTCACCACGCCTTGCCTTTTGACTAATGCATTCAGGGCACCATTGACTTTGTTTCCGGCAGCGACGCGCCTATCCACATCTAAATCACATCTTCCATACCGGCTGAAAGCACTCCCCAAGTATACAATTTCATTTACCTGTTCTAGACGTTCCTGATTTACCCATATTTCACATTTCGTTCTCTCTTCGTCCTTTTCAAATACCAGAACCTTAGTTTTATTAGCATTCAAACGGAGACCTTTAATTTCACATTCCTCTTTCATACACGTGACTAATGCCTGCAGTTCTGCTTCTGATGGTGCAATAAGCACTGCATCATCAGCATATAGCAGACAATTTACTTTAATGTCACCCAATTTCACACCCAAACAGCTATTTTTCAGCTTCTGTAAACAGCTGTCGAGATACAGTATGAACAGCCAGGAAGACATGACACAACCCTGTTTTGACGCTAAATATGGGTGACAGGTCATGCCCTACCCGCACACAGGCTTTACAGTCATAGTAAAGTGACTGCACAGCCCTTAGCAATCGACCATCCACACCATATCCCGGCAACAGTTCCCACATTTTCTTCCTTATAACCTTATCAAATACTATCTCCAGATCCACAAAAGCACAGAAAATCCTCTTGTCACACTCAGAACTTGACTTGAACAGAACACTCAGAAGCTTTTCCGTGATCATTCGGAGAGAAAACATTTGATCCGTGCATCCTCTTCCAGGTCTAAATCCGCATTGTGCCTCCCATAAGAATCTTTCCGATTTCTCTTGCATCCTACGTGTCAAAACCTTCGAGTAAACTTTACTTGCTAAACTGGTCAAGCTGATCGCCCGATAGCACCCGCAGTCAAAATGTGAACCTTTACCTTTATATAAAGGCACAATGACCGCGGATCGCCAATCATCCGGGACATCTCCCGTCCGCCAGCACAAGTTGCACAGCAGACGAAAGCTGTCCCAGACGCGAGGCCCACCGTATTTGACCATTTCAGCAGTAACTCTGTCTAGTCCCGCAGCCTTACCACATTTCAAACTTCGAATCGCACGTTCAATCTCTTTCATGCTGATGACCTCAGTGTCATCGAGGTCCGTGTCTGGCGTGCCAGTCATGGCGTTACCCCCGGATCCTTCACTAAGATCATGACACGCATACATTTCTCTATAAAATTCACTCCATCGCTGCATGACCTCTGATTTTTCTGAGAGGACGTCATTGGTTCTCGAAAGCACTTTGTTCATTCTTAAGGCTGTCGCACCATTCCGGGACCTTCCAACCTCTTTCCAGAAGAGTTTGGAGTTTTCCTTAAAGTAGTGCGACAACCTCTCGTCCGCTTCTATTCTACACCTTTCACGTACTTCCTCAATCAATGTTTTCGCATGAATTTTCTGCAGCTTATATCTCTCTTTCATCTTCTCTCTCATATGCTTATCGTTACTAGAGGCCAAGTAGTCTAACCATGCTTTTTTTCTTCTTTTTTACAGCTTCTCTCACTTCATCATTCCACCATGCATCTCTTCTTTTACTACTACCTCTTTTGTCGTTACACTTACTTCTTCCGCTGCACTTACCATTCCATCCCTAAGGTTCTGCCATGTTCTCTCCACACATTCTTTCCTACCATCGATGGTGTCAAGCTTTTCGGCTACCCTCGTGTGATATTTGTCCCTAGTATCCGCTTCCTGAAGCTTCCAGCTTCGGATGCGACAGACCGACTGTGGTTCTGTTACTGCCGTCCGGTAGCGCCAACCCGCGAACAAACCCCTAAATCTAGTAATTACTAGATAGTGATCCGTTCCCAGATCAGCACCCCTGAACACTCGTGTATCCATCACCTGTTTTCGCAGTCGGTCATCCACCAGGAACAAATCAATCATACTTCTCTCATTCTTTCTTTCTCTAGTGTACATATGGATTTTCCTGTGATTAAACATAGTGTTTGTCACAAGAAGACCCTTTTCCTTGCATACAGCCAGTATAAGTTTGCCAGCATCATTAACCCTTTTATCGCCAAACTTTCCAAGCACCGACTCGTATCCTGGTCGAGCGATACCTACCCATCCATTCAAATCACCACATACAACGGTTCTTTCGTTTTCCTTAACCAAATCTAGAACTTCTCTTACATTCTCCCAAAACTCCTCCAACTCAGCCCTGGACGACGAAGCTATCGACGCATAAACCGCCAAAAGGAATAACTTCGTCAGTCCCAGTTTAAAGCGAACCCAGAGAAGTCTTGAGTTCACAACCTAATATTCAGTCATAAGATCGACCAACCGGGACGACAACAGCACCCCCCACTCCCTGGCAGGCGTTCTCGCTTTCCGAGACTCCGGACCATATAGCTAACGTCCCGCCAGGGAGCTCTTCAGTACCTCTGCCTTTCCGTTTGGTCTCCGACATACACACGACATCTAATTCTCTTTCTTTCATTATTTCGATCAACTCATTCGTCTTATCTCTCATGCCCCCTCTAACATTCCACGTGCCAACTCTGCACTCCGTCCTCCACCTTCCGCCGTGTCGGGCTGTGCGTGACGGGTGGCGGTCCCCATCGCCGCTTTGCGCGCTGCATTCCACACCAACGGGGACGAGCTGGTGTGCGTCGCCTTGGGGGGACGCCCTAACTCCATGCAAACGGGAGTTAGGGTTAGGTGCGCAGCTGTGTAGAATTGCAGCCCCTGAAAAGGGCTGACAGGGGTTGCGACGATCACGCTTCTACAATGACCCCCAACTAATAAACAGATTCTGACTCAATATATAAAATAAAAACTGATATTCTTTCCAAGTGATTAGATCATTACAGTCTATCACACAGCTTATGGGCCCGAGCCACCCACTTTCATTACCAGACTGCATGTTTCATAAGCTAAGTGTAATATCCTGAAGTGACAATGGGCTGAAGAACTGCCAAATGATGTAAAAGAAATGTTCTCCCAACGTGACGTAATTGTGGCAGCCTAGTGCCGGTAGACGAAGTGTAGGGCGGTCCCCCACTAGATGGAGTGACAACCTGGTAAGACATGCAGGAACTCGATAGGTGCAGGTGGCTCAGGACCGTGCTTTGTGGTGTTCCTTGGGGGAGGCCTATGTCCAACAGTGGACTTGTGAAGGGCTGTAATAGTTACGATGATTCATTCACCTCATTTAGTGAAGTACAAGGATGCCTTGAGCACCTTTTCTCCATTTATTTTTTGTATGAAGTGACAAACAAACTAACAGTCCACCTTATGGTATGTAGTCGATCGGTGCGCTGTCACCTCTGACGACTAAGATGCAATGTCCTGTGATTATACTGACTATACTCTTCAGACTGGCACACACCATGATGACAGAAATAGGTAAAAGAGGAAGGAGTCCATCAAGGTTAAGAAATTGGCAAAGATAGGTGGTAGCTTACCAGTTGTAAACAGGGTCAAAACATTTATAAATATATTTATACATAAGTAAAACAAAATGTCTAACAATGCTCATTATGATGCTCGTATATGTGTAACTTTTAAATAATTATTTAATTTGTTTTTTTTATTTCTCCATGATTGCGTTTTACATGCACTTTTCCCAGTGGCGAAGCCTCTATAGAAGCCAAAAATCCGGGCTTGCCTTATCAAACTGAATCAATTAATAATATCAATCAATAATATCAACTAATAAAATAACTCGTAAACTGTTTCAAACTATTTCAAATTTCGTTCGCACTCCACTGTTCGACATAGGTCGACCGATGACCTCGGTATGCCTTAGCGATACTGCTGCTATCATGAAAAATGAGTTTTAATAGAGCGATTAGTTGTCTCCCTCGCTCGCGTGGGCTTTTTACGGGGCTTTCGAGAAGACGATCGCTCTCTTTCTAACCTATGGCAAAATATTCTATAATGAAATATAACTACGATTGTATGATGATTATGATGTGCTTTAGGAATGAAGTTGTCGAGAGCGGAGGCGCGCGAGCAATACGTTTGCAAGTTCATTTCACATTTCAATGTTTATTTACTCTGTGCGTTCAGCGTAAGCGATTTTAATATTGCGAGTTGAAAATTTGTGCCTTTTAAAGATTTTTTGAGAAAATGGAGGATAATAGTGTTCCTTGTGATGAACTGAAGTGTGTTAAAGTGCTAATCGGAGAGGAAAAGGTAAAATCTTTAAACTTTGTTGAGATAATACACAAGGTCAAGAGTGTATTTCAGACTTGTCAATTGTCGCAAATAAAAAAACAGTTATTGGTATAATTAAGACGTTCACCAATATTTTACGTGGTACACATTACACGTCCTTGACAGCACTGAGTATGAAACTGAAGAGTGGAGACAGATCAAGATTGGTGTATTTTTATAAAACTACTAAAACAATCTAAATTTTTATCAATTTATATCTTGGGCTTGCACTAGTTTGGAGTTCTAGCTTCGCCACTGACTTTGCCATCTTTATTTTGTGTTCATGGGCTACAGTAACCACTTGTCATAAGATAAATTGTACTTCATTTTAATAATATCAAAAAAAAGGATCTTACCGTTCTCATGATTCCCATTTACTTCAAATTTGGAATTCTCATATTCGAAACTCTCTACCTCAACTTTAACAGATTCAAGTCTAAAAATTTCATCATTACAATCATTTTCTATACCACACTCTACTGGCCAGATATCTACATTATGAATCGGTGTGAATTGAATCTTATCTCTAGCCTCATGTGATTTTGGTATTACCTGAAACCAAATTATTTTACTAAATAAGAGAAAAATCCAGTGTAGTGGTGGCTTAGGAGAATACATACTGCCCCGTACCATCCCGCAGATGTCGTAAGAAGGGACGGAAGGAAACTGAAACATGAGATGGGCAGCAGCACTTCCTGACAACAAGTACAAATAATAATGAAAACCGGACAAAAGTGACGGTTCAGAATAAACTTAATCAATTGTTTCAGACTTATGAATAAAAATTGACAAAGATCAATATTTGTTTACTGAGTAATATTACCCATATGTAGATAATATTTCATTTTTATATATATTACGTGATATATAAAATAATAAAGTTACATAATTAATGTTAAAAAACTAAATACTTGACTCACTGTAATTCGTAAAATATAGAACATTGCTTTAATAACATTAACTTTGCAGTAGAAAAAACATTCTCTCATATGGCAAAGGGAAGCAGCATAGAAGGCGTGAGACAGGTAGTGATCATCAAGATGCTTGCCAAGTGATGACTAAGGCAAATACTTCATTATAATGGGAATGAACCATCAAGCAGTGAACTTTTGTTAATAAGAAGTATAATAATGGGGACCATGTAGTAGCGTTGTAAGAATATCCACTACCCTATATACCTACCCACGGGACGGGTGTCGTAAGAGACAACATAGGGAAACAGAAACAGGAGTTGGGCAGCAGCATCTTCCTGATAACAGCTCGAACTAATATAAATTGCGGTTGCCAACCTGCCATGCGTGGCAAATTTGGCAAAATCTACGAAGAACTTTTCCACGTTTTAATGGATGGAATAAATAATACCATGGACCCTCCTGCACGCAACTGCTCCAGAATTGCATTTGACTCAATAGCCTGTTGTTGCAATCTCCTGCATCGAACGAGTCTTGCATGACAGGTGAAACAGACAATTATGGGCTCCTTACCCTCATCCACCTGAAAATATGAATGTTCGTCATAAATACGGAAAACTACTTAATTATACAAGTTTGTAATCTATTGGTTACCACAATTCTCATTCTTCTTCATCAACATTACTTTTTAGGGTACCCTACACAAAGGGTAATCAGCGGGACCCTATTACTAAGCCTCTGCTGTCCGTCTGTCCATCCGACTTTTTTTTATAGAATAGGGTGACAAACGAGCACACAGTCCACCTGATGGTAAGTAGTTGCTGTGGCCCATGACATCTACATCTATCCTCGATTACTAATCAAAATGCAGATGCGTTGTCACCCATGAGGACTAAGATGGTATGCTTCGTTTCCAGTAAAAAGGGTCTCTGGTTTTCTACACTTACCATACAAAGCATAGCAGCATTAAGCTACTATTTTATGCTGGTATTCTATGAGAGCGTGGTCCTTCCTCGATCGAGCCGAACCATTCGTGCTTCAACTGTACTACTAATATAACTGCTGCATGGATCTACCACGTCTGTCTGACAGTGGGCTCTATCTCATGATCCGTAATAGGTAGACAATTGAAATTTTCAGAGAATATGTATTTCTGTTGCCGCTATAACAATAAATAATAAAAATAAAACCTACTACTAACTACCGGGCTACCCTACTAAAAACGTGTTTTTACAATGGTATGGAACACTTCATGGGCTCCTCATCCTCATCTACATTATGGGAGTCCGACTCGCACTTGGCCGATTTTTTATAACATTGAAGTGACAAATAAACTTACAATCCACCTGATAGAAGTAGCTGATGCAGCCCATAAGCACCGGCAACAAGCTTCAAGCAAATTACATCTTATCTCTGGTAGCTAAGATGTAATGCTTCATAGCCTGTTAATGTACTGGCTCTTAATGTGTTCCACACTGGGACACACGCTGCTGCTTGTGGCAGCAGTACGTAAGAGGATGATCACTACACAGACACTCCTAGGCAGAGCAAACACCTGGCCGCCGAGCTTCAGCACAACAAGCACGTTCAGCGCGACAACAAGCTTCGGGCTTCAAGCAACAAGCCTACATCAGTGACCGAGTGGAGCCAAGCACAGTCGAGTGTGTGCCTGGTGTAGTACCATACGTCAGAGATGTCACAGACAAGATTGGCTTCATCTTGAAGCAAGCTTATATTAGAACATTCTACAAGCCACCAAAGAAGATTAGTCAGTTCTTACCATTCATCAAGTACATATATTCAAGTGAATATTCAATAAGCTTGATTGTGAATGTCGTCTCTCATATATAGGGCAAACAAAATGATAAATTAGAGCCTGCGTAAAAAAATGTATAGCTGAAGTGAAGGACCAACTCTTCAGGAAGTCTGCAGTTTGTGATCATATCCTCCACCATTACATCAGATTTGATAGACCACAAATCCTTGCAAAAGAACATCGATTCCTACCAAGGATGATACATGAGGCTATTGAAATTTCAAAATATCTTAATTTCAATAGAGGAGACTGGGTACTATCACCTGATTGGGATTCTGTAATTAATAAAATTAAAACTAAACCCAAGCATACTACGGCTTGACTTCATCACCATAAATAATAGTTAAAAAGCTGAAAGTACTCTGGGTTAACACTGATATTTGGACGTCTGTCACTCCAGTCCCCCGTGACCATGGGTGCTGGAAAGCACCCAAAATCAATGATCAACGACCATCTAAGATTTGCTGATAACATAATTCTCTAATCCGGCTAACGATGAACAAACCAAAGACCAAAATTATAACAAACAGAATCCACAAATTAGAGAATCCAAGAAAAGAAGAGGATGAAATAGAATATGTAAATTCCTATATTTACTTGAATCAACTAATTGCATTCAGTGATTAGAGCTCATGACCAACAACCGCGTCTACGCGCACTAGACCAATGAGGCAGTCAGCCATGACAAATATCCCTGGTGTGCCAATCTATAGCGGAGGCCTATGTTCAACAGTAGACTTTTTATATCAGTAACAATAATCAGACTGATACACACAATAAAAATACTCTTAAAAATTAATAACACTTAAAAAGCACGCATTGATCATGATCTGTGATGATTTTAGATAGAATTATTCTGGTGATCCTGATTAGGATACTAGGATAGTTATTTAATTATTGTATTGTCATCAGTCGTTGATACAAGTGCACATTTTCAAGTCAATCGGCTATCTACAAGTTGGTGACAATTACATTACAAGTACATTATTAATATACAATTGCATCACATTTTGCCGTCTGGTGAGAATATTCAAATATTTATGTATAAGTACCTAAATTAAAAAAGCTGGAAAACCTGTGAATCGTCCAGGAAAACTTTCTGAATCATTATTCTCAGTAAAAACTAGCTGGTTAAGCAGGGGTATTACTTAAGTGATTTATTCCCTCCTTTATCAATATAGTCTTGCAGACGTAAGAACTGCCAGGGAAAATATAAAACAGCCTATAATAAATGCTATAAGAGACAAGAATGGATGTATTCTGATTGATGAAGTTTCGAATTTAAACAGATGGAAGGAATACTTTGAAAGCGTATTTATGAGTGAAGAGTCGTCTGAATTAAATGAACTAGAAATTCCGAAAGAAGTGGAAAGGGGGTATGGAGATAAATGTAGATGAAATAATGAAAGCAATGAAAAGCATGAAAGCAGGTAAGGCAGCTGATATGATAGAGTATCACTCGAGATGCTAAGGGCTGGAGAGGGAGTGGTGGCAGGCCTGCTGTACACCTTGTTTAATTTATGTTGGGAATTAAAACGGGTACCGGATGACTGGTGTAAAGCAGTTATAGTACCAATATATAAAGGAAAAGGGTCACAGCAGGACTGCAAAAACTATTGCGGTATCAGCTTGCTTAGTATTGTGGGTAAGCTGTATGCTAAGGTGTTAATTGAAAGAGTTATGAAGGAAACGGATGGAAAAATTTGGGATGTGCAAGCGGGTTTTAGAAAGGGAATGGGTGTACAGATCAAGTCTTTTCCATGCGCATGATTTTTGTGCATTTATGGACTTGGAAAAGGCTTATGACAGAGTGGACAGGAATGTGTTATGGCAAACACTGAACTCATATGGGTTGAGCGCTGGTTTGATACAGGCATTAAGGTCTCTTTATAGGGACTCTAATGCTTGTGTGTTAGGATTAATGGGGTCTACTCGGACTGGTTTGGCATCCAAAAAGGTGTCAGACAGGGCTGTGTAGCTTCCCCTTGGCTGTTCAACCTAATTATGGACCGGTGTTTGCAAACTTTGAAAGGTGAAGAATGTGGGTTAAGAATGGGCGAGTTAACCGTCAAATGCCTTTTGTATGCCGATGATCAAGTCATATTTGCGTCATCGGCGGCTGAGTTGCAAATGATGGTTACATTAATGAACTGGGAATTAAAAGAAAGGGGAATGAAAGTGAACGCATGTAAGACGAAAGTGATGGTTTTTGAAAGAGAAGAAAGCAAAACGGTATGTGAAATAAGAATAGAAGAAGAGTTAATTGAGCAAGTGGATGAGTTTGTGTATTTGGGATGTGTATTTAGCAGGGATGGTAGATATGATAGGGATATAGAACGACGAGTAAATGCAGGGAATAGAGTGAATGGGGCACTACACTCTATTATGAAGAACCAGAATGTGTCAAAACCCTACTTTAATGTATGGTAGTGAAAGCTGGGTGTGGCAGAAGAAGCACGAAAGTAGAATAAATACTGTAGAAATGCGGTCTTTAAGGAATATGCTAGATAAATGTGGTATGCAAGATGATGTTGTGACCAGGATTAAGAAAGGAATGCTTGGGTGGTTTGGTCATGTGGAAAGAATCAATGAGGAAAGAGTGACAAAGCAAATTTATATGGCAGATGTGAACGGCCGAGTCGGGAAGGGACGCCCTAGGAAAAAGTTTATCGACCAAATTGGCGATATTTTGAAAATGGGCCATGTTAGAAGTACCCTTAACCGACGAGCATGTATGCGTAGATATATGGATGTAAAGGAGGCGAAAGAGGTATGTCAGGATCGTACCAAATGGAAGTCCGTAGTCTCTGCCTACCCCTCTGGGTGACACGCGTGAGTGTTTATGTATATGTATGTATGTATGTTTATTTTGTACAAAAATATTTGCACCGCTTTTAAAGTAATTGCATCATTTCATGGTATAGTTTGTAGTTAGGTTGAAGACAAATCATAATGACCATCTAAGATATGATCACATACTGCAGACTTCCCAGAATGTTGATGTTCAAGTCAGCTACAGTCTGTTCGCTTCAATAGTGTCGCTACACCTGGAGGCGCTTATTATATTTTTTGCTTTTATTTTATTATTTGTACTGTTTGTTAAATAAATGTTTTTTCATTCTAAATATAATACCAATATAAATAATAAACTAAGTTTAGTGGCAGAGAAAATTTAAATGAAAAATATGAATAGTTAATCAAAAGTAAAATGCACAATATTCTTTACCTGTATCTATTATATTACATTCAATGTCATCACATTCTAAATCCCGATATGATAATTGGTCACATGATGGCAAAGTTCTTAAGTCAAAGCGTGAGGTTCTCTCTCAGATCAAAGACTATTGTATGGCAAACTATATGCATCACAAAAGCCACAACCTGACCCTAAATGCGATGATCCCAGAGCCACGCTGACTTGCAACTACACAGACAAACTGCCAGAAATCTGGCGTGGGGAAATTGAGCTGGCCCTTGGCCAACTTAAGAATAGAAAAGCCCGTGGAGATGATGAAGTTCCAACAGAGCTCTTAAAAACTGAGAGTCAAAGCTTGCTAAAAGAGCTTCGTCAAGTTTTTAACTGCAACTTATGAAATGGGAGAACTCTAAGGGCACGAAGCAGAAGCATTACAGTCTTGTTGCACAAGAAAGGTGACAAGACTATGCTGATAAATTATCTATCCATCTCGCTTCTGAGCCAAGTCTATAAGTTGTTTTCGAGGGTCATCAACTCACACAAAGAATCAAATATTTTCAACAAAAGTATTTAAAAATACAATATGCAAAATATGTATTTTTAAAGTAAGTTTATCAAATAAAATACCATATTTCCTGATTTTGACACTAGTATTTGTTCAAAGAGTTCATCTTTCATATTCCGTCTGTCACCTCATAATCATTCCACCAAACAAAAATAGTTGTTCAACAGGTGCAGTACTTGGTAAGCATGTATTAAATTTAATTTAAGTAAGAGTTTTTGATTAAAATAATGAGTATGACTTTTTTCTTTCAAAGAACACTTAATTTTGTCTTTGGTTGTTTTGTTTAACATTGACAAATACACAAGCAAGGCTCCCAGCATGATTTCCATGGGTTTCCAATAATTCACATCTCTGACTAACAAGCACACAGTCCACCTGATGGTAAGTGAAAACTGTGCCCCATAGACATTTTTTTTTATTTATTTATTCAAAGAAACTTACAGCTCTTATATTACATTTGAATGTAGAGTGAATATTAACAATACATTAGCCAGAACAGTTTCCAACGATAAGAATTACATTGCGAAAACTTTAGACATACTTAAATGAAGTACATATTTGTGTTTGTCAAAGAGAAAAACATACTTAATGCATGCCTAATAGCAATGTTAGTAAAGGTAATTTTATATTCAGAGAGAGAACAAGAGGTACACACTACGCTTAAGCGTGATCAACTTGCTTAATAGATGAAATATAACCACTTAGTTTGCAGTTAAATATATCAATATGGTTATATCGTTCATTATGTGTGTTGCAAGCACAGACCAGAAACCGATTTTTCGAATACTTAGTTCTACAAAAAGGAGTAGAGAATACTGCGTTGGAGCGAGCACTTAACCTAGGGCATCTAAATGAAATACGACTTAGAAGAAAGGGGGAATCTATATAGTTATGTAAAAGTTTAAACAAGAACACCTAATCACTATGTTCACGCCGTAATTCTAATGAATGATGTAGCGTAGAATGATCCTTAAATTTATAACTAAGTCTTTTCAGAAACTTATTTTGAATCCTTTCTACTTGTTCCACGTAAGTAGTATAAATAGGGTTCCACACCGTAGATGCATATTCAAGATGACTTCTTACTAAAGAATTATAGAGCATAATATACGTGTTTATGTTTTTGAAGTCCTTGCATTGTCGGAAGACAAAACCTAACATTCTATGAGCCTTGGCAGTAGCTTTGTTAATGTGAGACGCAAAGTCTAGTTTATCATCGAGATATACTCCCAGGTCCCTCACCTCGGTCACTCTTTTAATCAAAATATTATTGAATTTATAATTGTAAATAATGGGTTGTTTTTTTCGGGAATAAGATATAGTATAACATTTATTAATATTTAATTTTAGATTATTAGCCGAACAATATTCATAAAAATTGTTTAAATCGTTTTGAAATAGGAAAGCGTGATCGAGATTCTTAACGAATGTAAATATTTTAGTATCATCAGCGTATAGTAAAGCTTTCGAATGTTGAATGCTACGCATGACATCGTTTATAAATATATTAAAAAGAAGAGGACCGAGATGAGAGTCCTGAGGCACGCCAGAAGTGGTCGGGACAAAGCTCGAGGTATAGCCCTTCACAGCTACTGCCTGAGACCTATCACGCAGATATGAGGTTAGCCATCTCAAGAGATCACTGTGTATACCGACGTTTACAAGTTTAGCAGTCAGTAGATTGTGCGAAATTTTATCAAATGCTTTAGAAAAATCGGTATACACAGCGTCAACCTGATAGCCTTTTTCCAAGGCCTCCAATGTTTCATCCAGAAACTCGCATAAGTTAGTTTCTGTGGATTTACCAGATATGAAACCGTGCTGAACTGAAGCTATTTGCGGTTTGATTGCAGGAAATAGAGAGTCGTATATAATTTTTTCAAATAACTTAGGTATAACAGATAGTATGGAGATACCACGGTAGTTAGCTATATTGTGTTTGTCTCCGCACTTAAATATGGGAACAACAAAGGATTGTTTCCAAAGCAAGGGCATAACACCTTGTTTCAAAGATATATTAAAAAGTAATGAAAGAGGAGCCGCTAAGTGTTTACTGCATTGTCTGAGAAAGATAGGGTGAATACCATCAGGGCCAATACCTTTATTAATATCGAGATTCATCAAATATCTACATTTATCTTCAATTAACTGTCACCTCTGAGTATCAAGACTGAACGCCTTGCCAACAGTATATAGCTTTTCTTGTTCTCTACACTCGCCATACAAAACAGCATTAAGCTGCTATTTTACGTTGGTATTCTGTGAGGGCATGGTACCACCCCCAACAGTAATAATAATTGAAATAATACTAGTTTTTACAGATTTTATCGCGTATATTTAACTATAAGTACCAGACATTTCGCGCGTTTTACAGCACCTATGGTCACGGGGGGACTGGGATGTTCAACGTCCAGATGTCATAGTTAACAGCGGTACCATAGATAAAAATTTTACTTTTGTTCCGATCTACACATCTATCTTTTATCTATGGTGTTGCAGTTGATCATGGGCGTCGGTAGTCACTTAACATCAGGTGAGCCGCATGTTCGTTTGGCCCCTCTTCTATAAAAAAAATCTATGGTAACCAGTGTTAACTATGACATCTGGACGTTGAACATCTCAGTCCCCCCCATGACCATGGGTGCTGTAAAACGCTCGAAACATCGGGTATTTATAGTTAAATATATGCAACAAAATCCGTAAAAACTAGTGTTATTTCAATGTGTAGTGTTCGCGTAAATATAAGAAATCATAATGATAATAATGTCCTCAAGACAGCAACTCGTCACAACGGAGTCTATTCATCAGTGCAGGACACATTTATATAGCATGTGTATATAAGCAAGCACATGTGCCGATTAGTCCCTCTTCTGATTTGTCTGATAGGAATATGGGAAATATGAGAGTGAGGAAATTTCTGTGTCTGAAAGCACATGTGCACTCTAATCTCCGGTTTAAAAGTATGATGAAACACGAAACTAGGGTGGATGTTAATTTTTTGAAGGAAATTCACAATAATACTCATTGAAGTAACATTTACTAGAACAGACACCGCGAATAAATCTATGCAGCAGTGCGGGTCGCGTGGAAGGAGGCACAGACTCGTTAAGTTTGAGCCCGCGGGGCCTAACAAGTGTTGCAAACACTAGGTACATCTCAACGTCACTTCTAGTACGTAGTACATGTTACTTCAATGATAGTACTGATTTTACTGCGACCCAGAATTCCTGGCTAATAGTTGTTTTTCAAATTCTGGTTGTATTTGTCACTTTATTTAACGTTGCACCTTAGCCTAGCCCCGATCTATAGCATTTTATATCAGGCAAGTTATATATTTCCAGCGATAACAAGAAATAACCGCAGCTTAAATTCGCAATATAAGAAGTATTATTTAACTTACAAAACTGTTCGTCAATGTTTCATAGAAATTTTGGAGGCCAGTCTTTAGTACATACATGCGTACATTAACGCTTAAACAAATTCTACAAATTTCGCTAAAGGCCATTCCTATTTCTTATGAGTGTGTCATTGAATTTTTATTACACAGTAATCTATGATTTTTATTTTCTTTAATAAACTGAAACTGTACGATATATTACTTTCCCTCTATGACATGCGTAGGGTAGGTATCTCTCTAATATATAGTAAGTAATCTATGGTAGTATCTTTTTTTTTATATGGCAACCTAACAATTGCTGCCAACCTCCAGTCAATAAAAATACTTGTAACTTGAAATGAAACGACGGACAATCTAAAGAGAAACTACGATTCTGATTAAAAACCGAAATCATAATATTAAGAACCATAGCATACCATAATAATGACTTGTACCGAAGTATATTAAATAAATGATGGATGTTAGGTTGAATTAAAATAATACTAAACTCAATACCACATTTAAAATAATAAGTATTACTAAATAAAGACGATTGATTGCTAAATAATGAATAAAATTTTATAAACTAATATTATTTAAATCTAAAAATTCCATAAGACAATTGAAAACATTTTTACTTTTTTTTAGAAAAAATTAAAAGAGAACAAATTTCTGTAGGAAGAGGAACTTTAAGATTTACCATAGTGTTAAATAATGAAGTATGATCATATAAAGGACACGAGAAGAAAATATGGTTGAGGTCACCAATATCCAAACCACATTCACATATTGAAGAATTTTTAATATGAAGCAAGGTGAACCGAATTACAGCAGTGACCCAAGCGCATTCTACATAACATTGATGTATGTTTCTTATTTAAGGATAATTTATAAAACCAAGGCTTAGAAGGAATGTCGGGTTGAATTTTGGCATAGTGACAGCCTTTTATCGTTTTGGTTTTGTTCCAATGTTTTGACCATCTATCTCTATATACTAATTTCGTATTTCTTATAAGGTCATAGCAATAATTTTTAAATAAGAAAGTATCCCCACAGACTATAGCTTGTTTAGCAAGTTTGTCAGCATATTCATTACCAGATATACCTACCAATATGACTCGGAATCCAAACGAGAGAAATGTTGATGTTTTGGAATTGATATAAGAATAGAAGTTTCTTAATTTCAAATATCAAAGGATTGCGGAAAATATCATAGAAAGGATTACATAACAATGCTTGTAAAGAACTAAGGGAATCTGAAAATATCACGCTGGATTTTAATTTAAAAAGATAGCAATATTTTATTGATTGTAAAATGGCTAACATTTCTCCAGTAAAAACTGAAGATTCGGGAGGACTTTTCATTTTTTGAACTATTCTCCAATTTTGATGGTATATTGCAAATCCAGTATTTAATCCAAGTTTGAGTTAATCTTAGAAGCATCTGTAAAAATATAATGACAATCTGGGAAATTCTTGTCCAAAGTAAATACAAATTTTTTATTTGATTCAATAGAAAATTTATTTAATCCTATATCTAATATAACATTGGGTTTGAAAATTGCAACTTCAAACGAATTGTAGAAAAGAGGCAGAGTCGCCGACCTATAAATAGGATCGAGTAAGGAATTATAATGTTCATACCTTATAACTAGGTTAGGTGTTTCTTTATTAAGCCAGTATTTTTCTGAATTAATTGAAATGTACTGCAAACGAATTTTAGGGATTAATGGATGGTTTGAAAATTGAGGAACCCGATAAAAAAAGGAATCCGATAAATATTGTCGTCTAATAAAAAGTTGAGGATCACCGCATTCAATCTGTAAGGCATTGATAGGCGACGAATTCATAGCGCCTATAATTAATCTTAAAGACTTGTGTTGAATGATATCTAATATTTTTAATCCTTTTTTACTAGCGGGTTCAAGAATAAATGAGGCATAATCTAATCGACTTCTTATAATTGCATTATAAATTAATTTTAAAGAATATGGATGAGCGCCCCACCATACCCCGCACAAAGCTCTAAGAATGTTTATATTTTTTTCGCATTTTTTTTGAGTATAAATGATATGAGGCATGCCGGATAATTTATTATCAAGAATTACACCAAGGAATTTAACTTGTTGGATATTTACGAGCGGATAATCAAAAAGGCGAACTTGGATTTCAGGTAAAACTCTTTTGCGCGAAAAAATTACTGTATTACTTTTATTTGGGGAAAGTTCTAGTCCATGATCATCTAACCAAGAGGCCATAGAGAGGAGATCTTGTTCTATCGCATTAGCACAGGATTCTATACAATTATCATTAACATAAACTAAGATATCATCAGCGTATTGCAAAATTCTACACTTTGAAACAGACTGGTCCAAATCTGACGTATAAATATTGTATAATAAAGGACTTAAAACAGAGCCTTGTGGAAGGCGTTTGAAAACCTTTCGAGTGTATTTTAGATCATCATCAATTTTGATATGTATATATCGATCTAGAAATAAATTGATAATCAAATTTGTAAGTTTTTTGGATATATTAAGCTTAAACATCTTTTCTCTAAGGATGTTAAGTCTGACATTATCATAAGCGGAAGAAATGTCAAGGAAAGCATCAAGGACCGATTCATTTCTCGAAAATGCAAGTCTAATATCTGTGGTGAAGATAGAAAGACTGTCATATGTACTTTTACCTTTTCTGAATCCATATTGGGTATTTGATAACAATCCATGACTTTCTACATACCATTCAAGACGGTTCTTGATCATATGTTCAAAGGTTTTAATTAGAGTTGAGGATAGAGCGATCGGTCTGTAGGAAGAGCCGTCGTTAGGATTTTTATCAGGTTTCAAGATAGGAATAATTACTTGAGTCCGCCAAGAGTCAGAAACAAAGCCAAACAAAACGTTAATGATATTTAAATAGTAGGATATTTGATCATTACATTTGGCAAGTAGTGAATATGGAATACCGTCTAAACCAGGAGCTGAATCGTGAACGTGAGAAAGGACGAGCTTTAATTCATATAAAGAAAATAGACGTTCTAAGGGATCAAAAAAAGAATCACATGGAATACTTTGAGTTAGCTCCTCTCTCAAAGGAGCAGAAGAGGGGGGCAAGTTTATCTAGAAAAGTGTTTATAGATTGAGAGGGAATGGCACCACTGTAAGAACAAGATGGAAAACAACAGCGAAATTTTCTAATATTACGCCAAACAACTGATGAAGGTATTGAAGGAGAAATTGAGGAACAAAAGGCATGCCAACTTGTTTGTTTTTTTGTGCGAAGAGTATTTTTGGTCACTTCCTGTACACGTTGAAGGTATGAATAGTTTTCCGAACTCATGTCTAATTTATATTGTTTTCAGCTTTTTTCCTATTACAAATGGCCTCAGTACATTCAGAATCCCACCATAAAGGGGAAGGCCTACATTTATTATTTAGAGTTTAACAGGAATTGTTTGATCTGCTGCATTTATAACTGCGTTTGTAAATGCTTCAACAATAGAAGTTATATTATTTTCAGAAATAGGAGCGATTTTTAAAATTTCATTGTAAAGCAAAATATTGTACAGGTTCCAGTCTGCTCTGTCTAGTTTGTATTTAATACATGGTTTTTTGTTAATTTCTGCCAATTCTTTGTTCAGAAAGGAAATCAGAATGGGAAAATGGTCACTGCCGTGAGAGCTATCTAGAACTGACCAATTTAGAAGAGTGGTTAAATCAGGAGTACAAATTAATAAATCTACAGCACTTCTAGACTCATTAGGAGGAGAGCGTTTGGTAATTTTACCAGTATTAAGGACACCAATGTTATGTTCGTCAATTATTTCAACTAATAAATTACCGTATTTATCAGTATTATCACCCCATAAATAATGATGACAATTAAAGTCACCAAGAATTATAAATGGTTTGGGTAAGGAGGCTATTAAAGATTTTATTCTGTGAAACGTATGGATAGAAGGGGAGGGAACATAAATAGAAACGAAAGTAATATTTTGAATTCTTACTGCTACAATATTAAAGTCAAATATTTCATCATAAACATCCATAATGGAATAAGTTACATTATTTTTTGTAAGAAAAGCACATCCGGCATAACCATCAGATCTGTCACTTCGAACAAGACAAAAACCAGGTACTCTGATGTTCGAATCCGGTTTTAGCCACGTCTTTTAAATAGCAGCGATACACACATTGTATTTTTTTAATAAATAAATTATTTCAGTACGTTTATCTAAAATGCTTCTACAATTCCATTGAAGGATCTTTGTGAGAGTGAATGTCTTGAAGAATTTTAGGTATAGAATTTAGTAAGCGAGCAACGTGAGACGGTAGCTTCGACGAATACGAAGATATGATTATGTTAATAAGGACACTTATAATGCTTTCTACAGAATCAAAATTACCCTGTGAAGTAACTGGTGAAACCCGAAGAGCGCAACCATCCTCAGGTTGCGGAATTGAAAAATCTTCAATCATTTTTGATGACTTTTCTTGTCGTATCCTGTTTGTGAATGGTGACGTAATAGTTTAGTAATATATAATAATTTCTTATAAGAAGTTTTATTAGATATAACGGGGATGGAAGGAAAATTATCCATTTTAGGATTAGTAGAAAGCAAAGAATTTTCAGGGATTTTTGAAATCAAAACATCAGCATATGATTTTGATGAAACTTGAGGATATTTTTGAGATGCTTCTAGGTATGAGATAGAATTTTGTGCCATATCAATTTTAATATTATTTTGTCTTGTGCGTTCAGGACATCTAGAATCTGTGTCTAGAAGGTTACCTGAGAAAAATAAGCAACGAAAAGATCCATTATCATTGTCGCAAGAAAAAGAGGAGTGATCACCTCCACATTTTGAGCATCTTGGCTTGGAACGACATAAATCTTTAGTATGTCTAAATCTGCAGCACTGAAAGCATTGGATCCTTGGAATCCTATAAATTTAAACAGGAATGGTAGAATAGCATAAATAAACCCTCGAGGGAAGAATTTGACCGTCAAATGTGATTACGACACTTTCAGAGCTT